CCATTTTTAATTGTCTCAGGTTGCCTTTCATCTTCTTCAAAGGATCATTATTTCTTGAATAAATTCAGTCTTTATTACTCTACAAAGAATTTTCACAAGTAACAAATTTCTTTCATTGCTCCAAACAAATAAATAGACTTATCGATCCTATTCTTCAACAAGTATTTCGTTTCCTCCGAACTTAACATCGTCGGAGCTATCAACAACACCAATTTCTGCAAATCGTCATTACACATAATCATAAAAAACTAAAAAGTTAGATTGATCCAAAATTACAAAGAGGGGAAGAAAAATAATAAGTAATATGGAGGATGAGTGAATAAGAGAATCTGAGGGTTGAGTAATTTGGACGAGTAGTGAGATTTTACTGGTGAAAACCTTTGGAATGAGAGAGGAAGAAGAAGAGAAATCTGGAAGATAATTGGAAAAGGAGAAAAAGATTTTTCAAGTAAAATTTTGGGGATTTAATTTAATTTTACTATTTATTTCCTACGTGGCAGTTAAAAATGAGGTGGAATTTGACATGTAGGAGGTGTATTACACGCACTATCCATCATGTGAGAAAATGGTTTAAAATACTAAATTTCAATGGGTTCAGGGTTCAGTTGGTAAAGGATTAAGTAGAAGGGTCCATAATACAAACTCATATAAGTATAAGGGTCCATCAGACCATTCCGCCAAAATTAAATAAAGGTAGAAGGGTAAAGTTACATCATTTCTTAATGCAAGTGCAAAGTAAAAATGTGACATATAAAAAGTGACGGAGGGAGTATTTTAGATCATATATTTCATAAAATTTCTCTTAAAACTCTTGTCAAATCAAATAATGTCTCCTAGAAATATTCACTTATACTTACTAATGAAGGCCCAAATTACTCCTAATCTCAACATTAAGAGGACCAATAAGATTACCACTAATCCCTTTAGCCATTACCATTTCACAAGTTAATTACAATGAGATATAATTACTTCAAACATTTTCCTTTGAATCGTTTAGACATACACCACTGAACTTCTGACATTTTGTGCCTCGTTAGCGTTACCTAATAATATAAGTTGCGTTTGTAGATAATAAATTTCGAGTCGAGAAAACAATAATCAGGATAAGAAGATAATGTAATAATCGTATTTATTGATTTCTAGTATGAGTATTACAATTTCTATGAATCCTCCTTATTCGATTTTGCGAATATATATTCGAATGCTTTGATTGGTCTTTTCGAATATAGATTCAAGGACTCTTGAACTTGATTTGAAAATTAACTTATACATGAGTTCAAGAGCTTTTGAGCTTATTCTTGAACTTGAATGATTATATTCTTGAAGTTGTAACTTAGAGAGAAATCTAAAACGTTTGATCCATGAGCTCTCTCTGGCTTCCTGTTAGAATTTCTAGTCCTTTTTCTGAATTATGAGGATCCTACTTATAGTTGTGGTCTTGTGGAGGAGTCATGATGGAAATAGGTATCCCTTCGGCCAATCAGATTTAAGTGTCATGGCGTATTGAGCTTTAGCGAAGTGGACTTGTCATTTTGACACATGACATGATCCTATTGACTTCTTTGTTTGACTTGAGATGCCACGTCATTTGACACATGACACCAAACTAGGCCTCTAGGATGAGATGACATTGATCTTAACAAACTAGGCTCATCTATTGTTGCCCAAATCACTTAATTTGAACTTTAATTAAATTCATATTTATTGGACTTAAATTTAACCCAATCATATTAATACATAATATTTACTTGGACTAATATATTTATGAATTTAATATAATCCAAATCATTTTATAAATTTATATTTAATAAATTTTAAATGATTACAACATATTTGCTACTTGCTATCAGCTATAACTTTTGGCATAAATCAATCCCAAAAATGCAATTCAAGAATAGCAATAAAATTTCCTATTACTTTGATTTCCCCTCTTATTGGGAGTACCAAACAAGGTTCAAAATTACTTCTCGTCTTGCATTGCCTTGAAATTTAATATGAACACTTTTAATATTATCATTAGTTTTTTTAGTGAATTATAATTATTTCCATCGTTGATAAAGTAATATTTATCAGTTATCAAATGACGAAAATATATACCTTGTTGATATAATAACTTTTGAACTTGTATGAGATAAAAATTAGACTAGATATGTAGATATATAAGAAGACGATATGTGAAAGATATGATGAATCAAATATAACTCAACAATACCAATGAATATCATGTATCTTTCTTATCCATGGTTGGAAGAAATTATCGTATTCATGGGAGATCCGAATTCGAGACATCAGAGGTTGATATCTTACAGGCAAATCCTCTTAGCTCCGGAATCAATTTCTTATACCTATAGTTATTATTAACTTAAAATTTAGCTTTTATAAACATCTGTAAAGAAAACTACATTATTAATGAATGGTCAATTTCTAAACAACTTTTTAAAAAGTTACATTTCTTATTGTGAGAATTTTATGTTAGGATATAAGAGTGTAAAAACAAAAAAAATGATCTAATAAGAAATTTCATCAATTATTTAGGATTGTGGAACTACATGATTTTCACATAAATTAATATTTATAGTAATTCAGTCAAAAAAATATACCTAAATTAGTCATATCATTTTTTGTGAATTTTGACCTAAATTGAGTGGGAGATTTCTTTTTAATTGTTCTTTTTCATAAGTTATTTCTTTTCCTTACGTTGCACTTTCATAATAGTTTTGATGGAAAAAAACTATTTTTTTGACAGATGGAAAACCCTTTTTGCTCTGGAGAGTTTGGAGGATTTTATTTCCATGTTCCCTCAACGTGAGAAGTGGTTATGAGTAGTTTAAAACTACTAATTAACTTTTCTATACAAGGTTAGAATTTGACTTATTTTAATTTTCAAACCAATAATTTTCTGACCAATAAAAACTTACATTCTCTTACTTGGCTCATGATCATTAACTTAGTGGTTTAATATCGCATGTCCATTGTCAAGTGAACAATTAATGTTAAATTCAACATCATTCGTTGTTATTAAGTAAATCAACTGATATGAATCATGACATTTGTACATCATTTTATTGGGCATAGTTCCTTCTATGTACTACAATATTAATCTGTTACGCCTCATACAACCTTTTAAATACATAATGAATCCAACAATAATGCATAGAATACTTTATCTAAGTCATAACATGTCATCATAATTCTCAACATTATGTATAATAGAGAAAACAAATAACAACAGAAACATATACATACATATAATTGAGCTTTAAGTTTCGATTGCATAAACATTTTTTTTTTTTAACATAAAGTAATTAATTGCTATCAATAAGGAGCATTCTTTCAATATGTTCAACAAATGTTTCAGTTGATAATTCTTTTTTCAAAGGATCAACAATCATAAACTTGGTGCTAATATGTTCAATTTTCACTTTATGTTTATGGACTTCTTCTTTAACTAAGAAGTATTTCAATTCCATTTGCTCGACACCCTTTAGATACTTATTATCATTTTTAGAGAAGAAGATTGTCGCAGTATTATCACAATAAATTTTTAACAACTTGAAAATTTTGTCGAAAGCTCAAGTATTGAAATAAAGTTTCACAACTAGTTAATGTGGCTTCAAAGAATGCCACAATTCAACTTTCATACTGGATGCAGCTTTAATGGATTACTTCACACTTTTTTATGATATTGCTCCTCTCGCTAACATGAACAAATATCCAAATATAAGTTTTCTTGTATTCACACAATCAACATATATAATCTGAATCTACATACTCAACCACATCAAGATATTTACATATTCTATAAGTAAGCATATGATCTTTCGTTCTTTGTAAGTATCGTAACACTTGCAAGTATCCTAACGAAGGATTTAAGAGATTGCAAAAACATAAACAATTTAATCAGAAATTCTATCAATTATTCAGGATCGTGAAACACAAAATTTTCGCATTTACCAACAATTATTGTAGTTCAATCAAGAAAACATACCCTATTTAGTCATAACCGTTCTTTGTGAATCTTGACCTGAATTGAGCGAAAATCTTATTTTTAATTATTCTTCTTAAGAAGTTATTTCTTTCCCTTACCTTACCCTTTCAGTTAACTTTCTCATACAAATTTAGAATTTAATTTATTTTAATCATCAAATCAAAATATAATTATTTGGGCCATAGAAACTTACATTTTAAACTTTAAATGTAACAACTTCAAATGTTTTCATCAAGCGATTGAACTTCTAGATAGAAAATTCTAAAATAAAATATTTTTCTTACTGAAAGAAAAGAAAATGAAAAAAGAATAAGCTAGAGGAATTGGGTTTAATAAATAATAACTTTACTCTAAAAATGTTGTTTTATTAAAAGTAATTTTCTCAACACTATTTTTTTTAGAATGATTTTTATTAATATTCCATTAAGAGAATACTTTTCATAAACACTCTATATAGTAGTGAAAGGAAAATTCAAATATAATAATAGTAATAATTATCAAATTACTTGATTTACTGTTCTCCTTTTAATTCATATTCAGTTCATTCATTAGTGACCCTTGATTTAGTGTATAATTTTTTTTTCTGCGTAGGGTAAAATTGATCTATAATAATAAGTTAACATTTCTATCAAGCATAACATGGTAACTTCTTATACCTTTGATATTATCAAATTATTTAATTTGTTCGAGATGGCATACTCTCATGCTGACAATCTGTTATGAACTTATTAAATAATAAGAATAAGAATATAGTAGGAAGAAAAGAGATCAAGACTTCTTATTTCTCTTGAGTTATATCTTATAATGAAGAAAACTCTTTTATTTATTTACAACAGGAAATTGAGTTGATCCCTAACTTTTCTTGAAAAGATAGACATTCATTATATATATATATATATATAATATACTACTAGAAATTTAAATTATAAAATTCATCCTAAACCTACCCAACTTATTATCCGCTTGAAAATTACTGCAGTAACTGAAAGCAAATTTCAACGAAAGTTGGGTTTCAAGGATACATGACCTTAGCTAATCTTGGTTTGGCCTTAGCAAGAAGAGGTAAGGTATCAAAAGGATCAGTCTTAGATGACTCAATTAAGTCATTGCATGATGAATTTGGTGGTAAACTCCAAGCAAACCCATGGAGAAGCCTAGCAAGTAACATTGTAGTAATTGTAGAACCGAGTTTCACACCCGGACATCCTCTTCTTCCAGTGCTAAATGATAACAAACGTAACTTTGAATCAGTGAGAACTACTTCACCACCACCTTCTTTTATGAGGTGGCGCTCTGGCTTGAACTTCAATGGATCCTCCCAAACTCTAGGATTCCGACCAAGGCCAAGACGACTTAATAACACTCTACTCCCTTTAGGGATGAAGTACTTTTCACCGATGATGGCATCAGAGATAGACACATGAGGAACGTTAAAAGGCGATATGGGGTGAAGTCGAAAGGCCTCTCTTATGCATGCTTTAACATAATTTAGCCTTGGCAAGTCTGATTCTTGAACCAATCTATTGATCCCAACAACAGTGTTGAGTTCTTTTATGGCCTTTTGCATTAACTTTGGTTGGTTCAACATTTCTGCAAGTGCCCATTCAACTGCATTTGATGGATTATCCACGGTTGCCAACATGAGTTCCTAAAAAAAAGTACTTTTGAGTACGTAGTAACAAAAGCTGGAAAAATATTATTTTTTTTCGAAAGCACTTATAGAACCTTGACCAAGTATAAATTATTGTACTAATATTTTCGAAAAAATAGTTTTCAAACACAAAATGTTATTCTCCAAAAGTACTTTTGACAAAATGCAATTTTCAAAATAAGCAGATTTTGAAAGCTTGGTCAATTAGACTATGATTCATAAATAGTAATTGAATGAATACTTACCAACACTTGTGCCTTAATCTCTTTAACACTCAGCAATGTATTTCCATTGGTATCTTTGAGTGTGATAAGAACATCAAGGATATCTTCTTCCATAGTTTTGTTGCCATCTTTCCATATCTGAATCCTCTGATCAACTTCAACATCAATGTGTTTTGTTGCTGTGACATAGGCTTTCTTGATAATTTTCTTGTGACCATCCAAATCAAACACACTTAACCATGGTAAGTAATCTGATATACTAAAAGCATGAAGATATTTAAGAAGTGTAAAAAGTGCATCAACTAGCTCATCGCGATCTTCTTCTATAATATCAAATAATCGCTTGCTGAAAATCATATTCCTAATTACATTCCCACAATAATATCTTGTCAGATTTCTCAAGTTAATAACAGATTGATTTTTACATTGATTGTAAATGAATCGATGAAGGTTGTCAGCTTCTTCATCCCTTTTACTCCGAAGCCATTGAAATGATGTTGGTGTTAGCACATGAGAAGCGAGAATTCTCCTCATTTTCATCCATTGATCACCCATAGGGACAAAAACAGAGGTTAAGTAGCCATTACTAATAAGACTCGCGGACATACAAATAGGTCTTGATGAGAAAATAGAATCAAGAGTATGCAAAAACTCGCAAGCAAGCTCAGGGGAAGTAATAGGAATGACATGAATAGTACCAAGACGAATGCAAGCGATTTCAGTGTTCATTTCCTCCATCATTTTGTGTATCCAATGAAATGGTGGATCTTTGTTTAGGAGCATTTGAGGAAAGCTACCAATTATAGGCCATGGTTTTGGACCTGGAGGCAATGATGATGTTTTTCTTATAATAATATTATTCCATATGTTTGTGATTTTAAGAACAATAAAAATGAAGATTCTCCATAATAGATCAACAAGGTTTGAAATTTTGAAAAAAATCATCTTTTTTCTTCTTATTATTATTATGATTGATAAATAAGGGTTGATGTTGAAAGATATAGTTGCATGCTATCCACTATTTATAGCTCTGCATGAACATGAAAGTAAGGTTGATAAGTAGGCGGATTGAATCGGATTTAGGCACATTGAATTGTAGTCCACTCATATAATATAAAATGGAAAAGTTTGGATTTGGTCAACTATCATATTAACCTAATTCTTTTATGGAAAAACTACTACTCATTCCGTCCATTTTTAACTGTTATGTTGAGCTTTTCGAAATTTAAATTTGATTAATTTTCAAAATTAAATTAGATTACAGTAATTCGATATTTTAAACAAAAAAAATTAGATATTCAAAAACTATACGAATAGTACTATAAATTTCAACTTTTTTTGCATATTAATATGATGAAAAAATACATTGTACTCTCTCCGTTTAAAAATGAATGGCCTCATTTTCTTTTTAGTCTGTTTCAAAAAGAATGACCCCTTTTCTTTTTTGGCAACACTTTAACTTCAACTTTCCATATGACATGTTTAAGGCCACAAGATTAAAGGGCATTTTGGTACATTTGAAATAACTTTAATTTTGAACCACAAGATTTAAAAGTTTTCTTTCTTTTCTTAAACTCCGTTCCAAATCAAACTAGGACATTCTTTTTGAAACGAAGGGAGTAAAATGTTTGTCAAGGTTATTATCATAAAAAAAAATATGACAATTAAAAGTGGACGGAGATAGTATCATATTAGACATACAGCCATATCATATCATCATGTTTGAATGTTAGAAATCAAGGTCTCAAATTTACTATTTTTAAAGTGGGAAATACTAAAATTTTCTGTTTTTAAAAGTGGAAAAGACTAAATTTTCTGTTTTTAAAAGTGGAAAAGACTAAAATTTACTATTTTTTTTTAAAGTGGCAAAGACTAAACTTTACTGTTTTTAAAAGTGGAAAAGACCGAAATTTACTATATTTTAAAGTGGCAAAGTTAATACTATAACCAAAATTAGTAAATTATGTAAATCTTTTTAGATGTTTAATACCGTGAATTAATAGGAATAAGAGTCCATTTGGCATTGCTGTTAAAAGAAATATTTATTTTTAGAAGCACTTTTCTTTTAAAAAGTATGAGTATTACGATCTCTATGATTCCTCTGAATTCGCCTTTTTAATTATAATTCAAGGGCTCTTGAGCTTAATTTTGAATTTGTCTTGAACTTGATCTTGGATTCAAGGGCTTTAAAGCTTGTTATTGAATCCTCGATGAACTTGAACTTTATTCGATGATCTTGATCGTTCTTGAACTTGAATGCTTGAATTCTTAAACTTATAGAGAATTTTATGACGTTTGTACCACGGGCTTTCTCTAGCTTCTTGTTTAGAATTTTTGGTCTCGTTTTTGAATTATGAGGACCCCTATTTATAGTTTTAGAATAGAGGAGTTGTGATTGGAACATGATTCCCTTCGGCCAATCAAATTTAAGTGACATGACATATGGGCTTAGTGAGCGGGCTTGTCACTTTTTACGCATCTCATGATCCTACTGACTTCTTGTTTGACTTGGCATTCCACGTCATTTGCCACATGACACCAAAATGGGCCTCTAGAATGAGATGAAATTGGGTTCACCTATTGTAATTTGTAGCCCAAATCAATTAATTTGACTTTAATTAAATTCATATTCATTGGATTTAAATAATTAACCAAATTATATTAATCTATAATATTTATTTGGATTAATATATTCATGAATTTAATTCATCTGAATCATTTTATAAATTTATATTTAATAAATTTTAAATAATTACAAATGCCTCCCACTTTAAATCTTGTCGAGATAGAACAGACTTGAAAGTATTAACTATCCGATAACCGTATGCCATGCATTTTAAGGTGCATCTTAATTATATTAATAAATGAAGTGCTCCAAAATAATTGGAGTAATCACAATTAGAGTAGATCATAGTGGAGTCACGTGGCCACCCTGCCACTTTCCATTGGTCCAGACTCCAAACCAATTTGAATATGGAAAATAAAATATATGTTTGTGAGCAAGGTAATCTCCTTTCTTTTTCTTTTTTTCTGATTTTTGTCACCACTTGACATGTCTATTGTAGAAAATTCATAACTAATTATAGAAACGTCGAAATCATGAACAATTTGATTTTCCAGAAACTAGACTTCTCGATCTCTAACATATTCAAAATTCAGAATTTAATACCTTCATAATCTTTCTAAATTTGGCCGATTGAATAATTTATTTTCTTTGGTTGCGGTGGGTAAATGCAAAACTCGCCACATTCAAAAACCCCTATTAAAGAATATCTAAAAATTTACCCTTATTAATTTTAAACACTTTTGACTCCACTTGATCCATGAACTTCAAGTTTAGCAAATTTTGCTTTTTGACTTTGAACTTGTACATAATAGAATTGCAGCCTCTTGACAATTGAGTTATCTTGAAAACACATTTTGTCGAAGCACCTTTTGATCTAAAAATTATTTATGCATGAAACTAATACTCCACAACATTTCCCAATGTAATCCCACAAGTACAGACAACCTTACCCCTACCTTACGAGAAACTTACTTTATTGAAACAAAATAAAAAGAGTATCCAAGTACTCCGACTACTGAATGCAATTCAAGGAATATAACTGAAAAGACTGCTAGATTATAATACATCTTAAGCGTGCATGGCTGTTGGCAACTGGCAAATCTTATGACATCAACTACATATGTTTAATTGCTAATACCATCATGTGTTTACTTATTGGCATCGCGCACCAAATTTTCACATCAATGATACTGTGGACAAGACGCCACAGAGAGCTCGTTTTCTACTAACTGACTGAGCAATCTTACCACCTCACATGTTTTGCAACAGAAATAGTATATAAATCTAGTAAGCTAACAACATTTAGCCCAAAAGAAATCAGAAGAGTGATGGAAGAAAATGAAATATATATGAAGGTAACTACTATTCCTTTAAAAAGCATCTCTATACTAGCATGTGGGCAGAGTGACAACTTAAAACGCGGAACTCTGACGCAAACTTGCAGTTGCTTCAGTAAGAGAGCTCAAAAGGGTCTCACCCACCTCAGCTTTGCAAAGGGGACATGAGTTGTTGATTTTCAGCCACTTATCCACACAGTCCTTGTGGAAGAAATGAGAACAGGGTAACTCCCTCAGCTCATCATTGTTCACATACTTAGCCAAGCAAATGCAACATGCCTGTTAAACCAAAGTTAAAAAGGATTATTAAGATGAATTGGTGGGAAGTATGCCGTCAAACAATAGAAAATGAAAAAAAATAAAAAAATAAAAAATAGTATGACATCAAACAATAGATAATGGAAAATATATTACAATATCAAAGGCATTGTGGCAACAAGGGTTTGCTAAAAGTTTTGTTTTGGAGAAGATCATTGGTTTCTGCATGTTAGCAGCGCATGTCACTCAGAAATTCAGTACATTATGAGAAGCATACTGTCTTTCTACTCATGATAGTATAAAATGCACTAGAACTGGAATATCAGCTTGTTTTCTTGTACATAGGACAATTCCAAAAATACTTATCGGTCGACAGTATGATCTCAAGTAGAACCTATATTTTTGCTAATTCTCGTTTACCCATGTTCATCACTGCATTTTCTTATTCATGAAACAAAAAGTACATTTGATAATGCATTATCCAGAACAGGTCACAAGGTGATTACAGGAAGATAGACAAAGAAACCATATTATTATTTTTTTGAGGAATAAAGAAACCATATTATTACCAACTCACACTTTATGACCGGAGATGCAAAGCTAAGTGCATATATAAATATACATCAGGACCTATTTTCCATGAATAATTTCTCTAGTAGTTCAACATAATTTATGGATTGATTGCAGCGGATGTTTTTACATTCACCGGTGCTTTCTCAAAGTTCCAATTCTGACCCTATGGATTTGGGCTTGCATTAGTAGTCTAGCAGTTTCTCCAGGAGGCTAGGGAGTGAAAAAGACCTGGAAGGCAAGTTGTTGGAAAAGAATAGCAATTAACTTTTGAGTGGCAACTGGTTAGGTAGTATGTAAGCTATTACTTTTATCTTCCATTTTGATTGGTCTATATACTATTTCAGTCTTCAAAAAGGCTGTGTCCACACAGTTCAGGTAAATTTTGGATGTAGGATATATCAGATTAATATGTGATTGTGTCACCAAACTCTCAACTCCTACGCTAATCTCTGCAACCCTCTACCCCTTAGCTTAGTTTAGCAGTTGGCACAAGTCTCCACCTACTATTTGCTCTTTGACATCTTTCTTCTTCCTTGATTCAGCAATTACACAACTCCTTTCAGCAGTCAAATTACCTATAACTCAAAAGTATCATGAATGGGAACAGGAGAAGGAGTCAAATTAATCCCGACAATTGCAAGAGTAACAATACAGTTAATAATGCTTCAGCAACAAAAATAGGTCCTATTCCTTTTTTATTGACCCTCATTTCAATTGATTGGATGCTTGAGCACTTAGATTTTTGTGAGTCTCTCGTATAAAGTATATTCCGTCCCTTTCTAATTTTTGTATGATTTCTCTTGTATTTCTCTTGCTAATGAGTTTCAAAGATAAAAATCCTTTATTGAAAGACAAATTTGGCCAGTATTCCCTAATGAGTAGCTTTTGGAGAAAAGGGTCTCCCTTACATTCTCCACCCTTTTGAGGTGGGTTTCCATATTCACCCAAGTCATGTAACACAATAGTTTTCCTTTCACATATCAGTGTATGGTTATCATACCACACATGTTTTACCCTCCTAAGATCCTCCAGAAAGTTTTGCTCTGAAATATTTATTTCTTCAAATTAAAGCTGCTAGGAAATTGGAAGGATAGAGAAGGCTGTGAGGAGTGGGAACTGGGAGGGGAAGTCGCAAGTACATTTGATCAACCATTTCTACTATCAACAAAGCCACTAACAAGGAAAACTAACACTTTCCCCCGTCTCAAAAACTAAGGGAGGAGAAGGTTGTTGTTCAAATGCTACAGCACACAAATATATATATAAGCTATTCTTTCAAGGAAGAAGAAAATGGTCAGAATGTTCATATTTCTAGTTAGGACTTAGGAGCTTGAAAGACACCAATTGGAATGAGAGAAATCACAGCTCAAAATATTTAACACCAATTCATCAGCAAAAGATCTAAAAATCTATGGACATGACAAAGTGGTGGTTTGCTTTTGGGAGACCATTACAATCTCCAGTCAAAGTTTAATAACAACATACCCAGTGTAACCCCAACCAAAGTTTAAGCAGAAATCTTTAAGCTTGTAATATTTTAAAAGTCAATTTGCGCCACTCACTTTGGTAGAAAAGGCTGGGACAAAACATTAGCATAAAAAGTCTTCTTAAGTATTGATTTTTCTTCATAAGCAGAATCAAGCAACCAGATATAAACAATATGCGAGTAGACTTTTTTTCTTAGTTGTCTTGCATCAGGGTGATGAAGAACCCAATAATGTATGCTTGCAGAAGTGCTGAAGCTGTATCGTAAAGGGCCTTTGAAGGAAAACATGCATATGGAACTTGAGACCATTTCTGTCAGATGTTATCTATATTCACTAACATATTTAATGATTCGTACCTTTGGTCTAGATCCAAGTACAATGGATAACACAAGCCTTCACCTATTTTTGCTTCTCAACATATGGTTAACAAGAAACAACAGCAACCATCTTACAAGAAAATAGTGGGAAAGAATGAGTCTAGAGGAGGACTCAGCCTATAAAGAGGAAAGTATGTGGCTTCTTCTTCATCATCATACTCATCTAAAATGCAAGGTGTGTGGAATTTGAGAGTGACATCAAAAGATTCTCTGGCGTTTTGCTCTGTACTTAAGTAAGAAGTAATGCTAGAGGTTATATGCTGAAACACTCAGGTACCAAAACCCACTAAGTATCAAATCCCACTACCAGAGGGATAGAGAAGAAGAAAAAGGAATTAACTACTGGATATACAATGTTGTTTTCCAGCACTAGCGTCTTAGTGGCTCAATGGAACCGATGAAAAGAGCATAACAGGGTTCAGATTCCATTCAGATGCAGTTGTCATTCAAAAGCAGAAAAAGAAGCTCTGAAATTGTAGCCCTGGTTCAAACCTATGATGCAAAACCAAATTAAAATAAGCTCGAAATAATCTGTTTCTACTGCCAGCCAGAGTAAGAAGGTATGTACACCACAGAAATGACTTTGCAATAGCAGTGACGAGGGAGAGAGAGAATAAATAGTTCTCCTTTTTCTTTCTTTGTCTTGATTTCAAATGGAGGATGGTGAAGGTTCAAGCAGACAGTTTCTTCACTCCTCAAAAGAGAATTTGTCACTAAAATTTTTATTTTAAAGGAAAAGGAATTTTGCCACTACGATGGACAGAAAATAAATCAGAGAAATCTATGTTAGAAAGGAAATAAATTTACCGCATCTTCTCCTGAAATCACACGCTCCTTGTCTGTTCCTGCAGCCACAACCCCACCTTCAGCAGCCTCTTTGTTGCCACTTTTGTTTTTCTTTACCTTAAATTTATAGGTCGGAAGAGA